CATTTATTGTTTTTTTTTTTTTAGGAAATTTACCAAGTTTTGGCCCAGGGGTTTACATTTCCCACCCCCTAGCACAAGCTTTCACTATTCAAGCTCCAAATGGAAGGCACTGAGGCTGTAATTACAGCGGCATTAGCTCAGGAACACGCTGAGAGGAGCAGGAACAGAGCACCTGGGGGACCTAAAAGCAGCCGCGGGCCTAAATTAGCTGCTGCTCCTCGTGCGTCGTCGCCCTGCTCCTCTCTGGGGGCCCCCTCCGTCCTTGCTCTCTGCTCTCCTCCATCTCTGCCCCAGGCTGCTTTGCTCACTCTTCCCCTCTGCCCGCCAGCGCCCTGACAGGTGCACGAAACACTGAAGAACAGTGTAGAGGCGGTGCCCCCAGAGCAGCCTTTGTGTGGACGGGTGTCCTTGGATCCCGGTGCGGGTAGGCTGGTTTGGCCGCAGCTCGGGGGACAGCTTGGAGGCTGCACCACACCGGGGACAAGCCCTTGCTGTGCTCTCTTGGGCCCCCACTTTCAGTCTCTGTGTCCAGGCATCCTGAATTGCTGTCAGCTCCTCCCAGCTTTTGCCCCAGTTCTTTGTTCCCTCGGCCTGGGACCCCCTTTCTACTCTTTTTGCTTCCTCTGACTCACCCGGTAGGTTCAGCTGAGATGTCACTTCTTCAGTGACCCCTGGTCTGGGATGCTTTCATCTCTGTTGCTACAGCACCCTGATTTCCCCAATGCACAGTTTAGCACTGCCATGGGGCATTCCCCTGTCCCCAACTAGGTCTTGGGGAAGTGCTTGCACATAGTAGGCCTTCAGTAAAGACCTGAAAACCGACCTTGATTCCTTTACGGCCTTAATCCCCCTTTTGCTTTCACAACAAGAGAGGGAAATTTTCTCTTTCTGCCTTTGTAGGGCTGTTGTTGGCAGGATGTCAAGGTGAGGCTCAGTCTTTGTCCGTTGTCTGCTGACTTTCACATCTCAGCCCTTCTGGACTGGGCCGTTACGTTGATACTTGGTTAGACATGGTCCTGTGTTGACTACTGTTGCTGGCTCCACATCAGTTTGGCTTCTTTAATAATATTAGCCAACAACTTTTGAGTGCTTGTTGTGTATTAGATATTGTTCTAGGTACATTTATTTTTTCACTCATCAAATTTGTATTCAACACCTGCTGCATACCACACATTGGGAAATATGGATACAGCAGTGAGTATAACCAATAAAGCCCCTGCTTTCAAATGGAGTTTATATGTGACACAAACAAATAAATGACTAAGGAAGTGTATACCATGGCAGATGGTGATGAGTTGTGGGAAAAAGAGATCAGAGAAGGAGTAAAGAGAGTGACTTCTTATTATGTATTGGGTGGTTGGGAAGGATTCACAGATAAGGTAACATTTGAGCAGAGACTTGAAAGAAGTGAAGAAAGATCATGGGGGAGAGCTTTCCAGGAAGAGGAAGCAGCAAGTGCAAAGGCCCTGAGGTCAGGGCATATTCCAGGAAGAGCAAGGAGGCCACTGTGTCTGGAATGAAGGAAGTGACCAGGAGGAGTAGGAGGTGAGGTCACATACAGCGGTACTGGCTAACAAAAATATGAGTCACCTATATAATGCTAAGTGTTCTAATAGCTGCATTAAAAACTAAAAAGAAGCAAGTAAAATTAATTTTAACTATACATTTATTTAATATATTTCTAAAATATTTCTTCAATATGTAGTCAAACTAAAAAATATATATATATTTTAAATGTTTTTATTTACTTGTGAGAGAGAGAGAGAGAGACAACATGAGAAGGGGAGGGTCAGAGAGAGAGGGAGATACAGAATCTGAAGCAGGCTCCAGGCTCTGAGCTGTCAGCACAGAGCCTGATGAGGGGCTCGAACCCACAAACCATGAGATCATGACCTGAGCCAAAGTCAGGTGCTTAACAGACTGAGCCACCCAGGCGCCCCTAAAAAATATTAATGAAATGCTTTACGTTATTTTTTTCTTAGCGAATCTTTAAAATCTGATGTGTATTTTCAAAATCTGGTATGGACATCTCATTTTGGGCTCGCCACATTTCAGGTTCAATGGTTGTGTGTGGCTAGTGGCTACCATATTGGACAGCACAGATATAGGACTTTGAAGACCAGGCCCAGGCCTCTGAATGAGAGGGGAAGCCATAAGAAGCTTTGGGGCCTGGGAGCATTATCTCTCTGCTTAATGTTCTAGAAGGTTCAGTCCAGCTGTGATGAGAGGCAGGGGGTGGGGTGGGTGCAAGGATAGAGCATGGAGACTAGGAAGGAGGCTCTTGCCAGTATGTGGTGATGATGGCTTGGACCGCACTGGGAGCGGCGGTGGCGGTGAGAAGTGGTTGGATCCCAGATGTACTCTGGAGGTGGTACTGCCTGGTTTTGATGACGTGGCGTGTGAATGAGAGAGGAGTCAAGGAAGTACCTAGATTTTTAGCCTGAGCTAGTGGGAGGGTGAGTTGTTTCCAGACGGATGAGGGGGACGGTGGTGGGGGAACAAGCGTCTGGGAGGAATGTGTGTTTGGTTTGGGCCTGTTAAGGTTGAGAAGCAGTGTCAGCCTTTCAGGTAGAGTGGGCAAACAGGCAGTTGGATGTATGGATCTGGGGCTCAGGGGAAGCCTGGTTGGGGACAAGCCATGAGTGTCCTGGGGAGTGGGTACACATAGAGAAGTGGGGCTGAGCTCTGGAGGAAAAGGTGGACGGCTGTGAAGGCAAGTGCAGGGTGGCAGCAGGAAGCCCAGCAGAGATGGGAAGACTGTGAGGAAAGAGGGCCAGACGGGGCGGCCTGCTGTGCCTGGTATCCAGATGGGCTGAGGAGGAGGAAGCTCCAGGATCCCTGACCACTGGCAAGACAGGGAGGCAGACACCAGGCTGCATGGGTCCAGGTGAGGCCAGGAGGGGAGAAAGAGATCGCTGGTATGGACAACTCCATTGAGGGGTTTTGCTTTAAAGGAGAGCAGAAAAATAGGGTTACCTTAATGGTGAGTATATAGTCATGAGGAAGCTTTTTTTCTCTTAAGGATGGGTGATAAAATAGCTGATGGGGATGATCTAGCAGACAGAGCAAAATCAGCATGTAGGAGAGAGAAAAAATGAGCTACCTCATTCACATTCACAATAGCGCTACATGGTAGGTACTATTTTGCAGACGGGGAAACTGAGGCAAAGGAAGATTCGGTCATTTGTCCAAGGCCGCATGGCTAGTAAATAGCAGGGCCAGGAGTTGAATGCAGATGGCTCAGTTCTAGAACACCCAGTCTTATCTGCTATGCTACTGCTTCTTGGTTTCCTAGCTAGATTTGTGAGCTCCTTGAGAATGGGGCCTCCTCTTACATTTCTGACACAGCATCTAGCTGTGCAGAGGTGGGGTTTGCTAGATCTTTAATGACCAAAGAGATCTGAACACCAGGAACAGTCCTGGGAATGCTCGGGCACCTGGGCTGGCCGGGGAGGCAGGGCGTGGGGCATGGTGTTAGCTGGCCTCATCCTGCCTCTTCCCGCCACCTCCCAGGACCTTGCATGAAGTGAATGGTGCTCAGTAAATACTGGCTACATGAAAAGGCTAAGGCTCATCCATCCTAAAACCTAAGCTGATGATTCTCCTGCACTACCTGGTTCCTGCTCTGGTTTACCACCAGGGTGCTGGGTGACCTTGCCCACTCAGTGCCTTAGTTTCCTTATCTGTAAAATCAAGAGGTAGGGCTAGGTGATCTCCCATCTGGCTCTCCTGGCCGGAATGTCCCAGGTGGGCATGTACAGGCTGGATTCCTGCCTCCCTCCAGTCTGTCATCAGGATGGACAAGAGGCACACTGTGGGTGGGGTTGGCTGGCAGTGGAGGGCTGGGTGGTCCTTAGAAGAGCTGACACTTGTGGGACGGGGTAGACAGCACATAGGGAACTCGACAGATGGTGGGAATCCTGCTTCGTGTCCAAGACATTCCACCCCATTGGTAGAGCTCAAAGCCGTGGCACTAGTGGCCGGGTCCCAACATCCAGCACATGCACCTTTGGTTGGTTATGTGGTCAGCCCTGTTAGAGTCTGAGGCTGGGCTTTAGCCTCTACTTCTACTGCTAGGGCTCCCACCCAGAGCTTCCTTTTTAGGGGTTCTCCATGCTAACTAGCCGCTGTGGCGCCCCTGCCATGTGGAATTTTGAAATGCGTAGGGACAGATTTCAGTGGTCCTGTGGTGGGGGTGGGGATGGTGGTAGTGGTGGCTGCTTAAGACGCCACGATGAGAATTGTCCCTCCCTAAATGCCAGCAGTACTCTGAGCAGAAGCCTGTTCAAGTGTGCCACAGCAGGGCGCTTTGGGGTCTGGGAGCCCATCTTGCCTCAGCTGCCACTCAGTTGTGTGATCGTGAACCAGTCATTGTATTTCCCATTACCCACTTTTGTGAACAGGGCATGGACACCTAGTTGCTTGCCCTTTTTAAAAAATGTTTATTTATTTTGAGAGAGACAGAGTGCACATGTGCTCTCTCTCTCTCTCTCACTCTCTCTCTCACACACACACACACACACACACACACACACACACACACGAGTGGGGGAGGGGCAGAAAGGGGAAGAGAGAGGGAATCCTAAGCAGGCTCCACAGTGTCAGTGAAATGCTGGGGGCAGGGCTTGATCCCACAAACCGTGAGATCATGACCTGAGCTGAAATCAAGAGTCAGACACTTAACCAACTGAGCTACCCACTTCCCCCTAGTTGCTTGCCTTTTGGGTTGTGATAAGTTTTAAATGAGACTGGATTAACATTCCTCATCATCTCGGCTCACCACAGGGTCGGCTTGCTGTGCACCAGGTGTTGACCTAAGCACTCGTGGACCTGTGTATTCCCCCATTTTAATCCTCACTGCTTTTTGGGTGACCCATTTCACGGAGGAGGAAACTGAGGCAGAGGGCTTCTTGAATCCTGGGAGGTGTGCCCAGTGGGCCGGTGGCGGGGGTCTTCCCATGCCCCTGCAGGCCCGTGACCTCCCTCTCCTTCGCCCCCAGGGACAGGGGCAGACCCGGTGGCCAGCGCCAAGAGCAACCACTGCCTGGATGCCGCCAAGGCCTGCAACCTGAACGACAACTGCAAGAAGCTGCGCTCCTCCTATATCTCCATCTGCAACCGCGAGATCTCGCCTGCCGAGCGCTGCAACCGCCGCAAGTGCCACAAGGCCCTGCGCCAGTTCTTCGACCGCGTGCCGGGCGAGTACACCTACCGCATGCTCTTCTGCTCGTGCCGAGACCGCGCCTGCGCCGAGCGCCGCCGGCAGACCATCCTGCCCAGCTGCTCCTACGAGGACAAGGAGAAGCCCAACTGCCTGGATCTGCGCAGCGTGTGCCGCACGGACCACCTGTGCCGGTAAGCCCGCCCCGCAGTCCCCGCTGCGCGCTCCCGGACGCCTGCCGTCCGCGCGCGCCTTCAGCCCGGAGTTTATGGTTTGTCTGCCTTCTCTGTTCACTCGTGCTGAGCACCGTGCGAACCCAAGGTGAACAACCCAGCGGGCACAGAATTTCATAGACCTTAGAGCCTGGCCTGAGAAGGGACCGCCAGTGAATTCGGCCCCCCTCCTGAAGGAAGCCCCCACCTCTCGTCCCGGTGAGGTCATGTGGCTGGCACAAGGGGCCCTCCTAAATCGCAGAGGCAGCTCCTTTCACAGGAGAGCTGAGCCAGTCTGGTGCTGGGGCGGGGTGTGGGTTCGAGCCTGATTGCCCGGGTTTGACTTCTCCACTTACTAACTGTGTGATTTAGAGCAAGTTGTAGAAGTTTCCTGAGTCGCTGTTCCTTCATCTCTAAACAGGAGTAAAAATGTCCACATTGGGTTATTGTGAGGATTAGGTGACATGATGTGTGTCAGAAACTTAGCACAGAGCCTGGTGTATAGTAAATGTTTAATAAGCATAGCCTAATTATTAGCAAGGTTTTTTTTTGTTTGTTTGTTTTTTGGCTGTCATCACCTGAGTTGAAATTTGCGTCTGTATAGTTCTTATGTCTTCCCTGTTTGTTGTTAAGCATTTATTGAGTCCCTGTTGTGCCCAGCACTCAGTTCTAAGACCTAGGCATGCAGAGGTGAACATTGTGCTCTCTGAGCAGCAGCCTGTCCAGAAGGGGACACAGACAAAGCAGGGATCCCAGTGCAGTGGGGTCAGGGCTGGGGGCTCTCAGATGAGGCAGCTCAGGGTAGGGGCATCTGCCCCAGTCTGGGGCTCTAGAGGAGGGGGCCTTGAGCTAAACCTTGAAAAATGCGAAGGTGAAAGCCAGGGAATGTGTCAGCTGGAAAAGCATATGCAAAAGGCTGGAGGGTAGGAGAGGGCCTGATGAGGAACTGCAGATGGTGGGCGCACGTGGAGTGTGGGCTGTGAGGTGGGAAGGCCACAGGTGGCGCTGCTGGAGAGACAGAGGCCATGGGAGTGCAGAGATATTGAGGTTGCTTACTGTGTCCTGGATGCTGGTTTATTATATGGTTTGTCTAATTTAATTCTCACAACAAAGCTACCGGGTGGATAACTATTATCATCTTTACCTGTCAAATGAGGAAATAGAGACATAGAAGGTAGCTTGCCTAAGGTCACACGGCTCATACGTTTCAGAAGTGCGATCCATCCATCTACACTGCTTCTTTCCAGTGTAGTGTACTGGCCTGGACTCAGATAGCCGCTTTAGGAATGCACAGACGTGTGTATCATTTCAGATATGATTGGTAAGTAGACTCGACAGGACTGGGTGATTGGTTGAAAGTTCCCTGGAGGCAGAAATCATTTCTGTTTTGTTTACTCCACACCTCGTCCTGAAATCGTAAAGGCTGGCACATGGGAGCACTCCACCGACATTTCTTGAATGGATAAATGAATGGTGACCACTGTGTTTCCTAGTTAAGTAATTATGGGATGAAGGAGCCATTCAGTGTGTGGGATTTTGGGTGTGCAGCATTTGAGGTGCCTGGAGGACCATTGCCATTCCTTTGGCAATGTCTGGGGCGTGCTCAGTAAAGAGGCTGGAGTGGAGAAATGGGTTTGGGAGTTGCTGTGTGCCTTGTTGGTGATTAAAGCCCCGGCGGTGAGTGAAATGGTGCAGGGTGGGTTGGTAGAGTTCAAGAGCGAGTGTAGGCTGGAGAGGCCTGCAGATTTGGGCATCCTCAGTTGTTTAGGTGGCAGCACAGAGAGAGAAGCCATTGGTGTGGATAGTGAAGCAGAGCTATGCTAGAAATGCCATTCCTTCAGGGAGGGGCAAAGGAAGTGGGGCTTGTGGCCGGGGGGCTCGGAGGGTAGAAGGACAGCCAGGAGAGGGTGGGCTGCTTCACCTGGGAGAGAGGGGGTTCCTGAGGGAGGGAGTGACTGAGACATGGTGCCTCATGGTGTGTATGTGTGTGTATGAGAGAGTGTGTGAGTGTGACAGCATGTGAGTGTGAGAGTGTATGTGTGAGGGGTGTGTGAATCTGTGTGAATGAGTGAGTGGCGGGTGGAAGCCAGCTGCAGTTGGTCCAGGCCTGGCAGGAGGCGGAAGTAGAGGCAAACCCTCTTGTTGAGGACTCGCATGGACAGAAGAGAGAGAGACACATACACACACCCAGAGACAGAGGCTGCAGGGGGAAGGGAGTCCTCTCTCTACCATGGGAGCGCCAGGGTCAGGTTGGATGAAAGAGAAGCCTTATTTTGGTTTGGAAAACAAGCACTATCTTGAGTTCAGAGATGGGCCTGATCCCAAGAGCTCGCTGCAGGGCTTGGGAAAACTGTGAAGAGGGTAGGCTTTTCTCTTTTGCTACTTAAAAAAACAGGCCTCATCACATACAAACACTGATTGAGGCGATTTAAAACAAACCACACGTACAAGGGGATGGTTAGAGGTAGAAACCCGGGGCCCTGCAAAGACGTCAGGAGCCAGTGCCTCAGGTGTGCTCTCTAGCAGTCACTGAGTTGGAGCTCTGCGTCTCGTGGTGGCTGGGATAAAGTGGGACCGTGACAGGCTGCATGAGTTCTAGAACACGATGGAAGGGAGCATGGTAGTTCTTGGATGGACACATTATCTCCTTCTTCTAAGTGCTGACATGACCCGCCAGGCCGTTACACATAGTGTATATGGAATGACTGATGGACTAGGAGGTGGGCCTGGGAGAGAGCTGGAGGGCCAGCTTAAGTCTGAGTCCACTGATGACAGGCCGGGGCCTGCAGGAGCCGGTGCTCACCTATGGGCCAGGTGCACCAAGGCCAGCAGGTAACCTGCCCCCAGCCATCTCGATGAGGAGAGGTAGCAAATGAGCTGCAAGAGCAGCGGCACCCCCTTCATGAGTCCTGTGTGTTGTTCCCGGGGCAGGGGTCCATAGCACTGAGTGAGAAGGGAGAGTATAGAGTAGGGTGATTTCAGGTTTATAGAACATCTGTGTCTGTTTAAAGAACCAGAGGGGTTTTTTGTTTCTTGTTCCAGGGGTGGGGGAAGCCAGAAACAGGAGATGGGGATTAAGCCTCATATTGTAGAACCAGAAGAGGTGTTTCAGTGAGATTAAGGATTGAGAAGGTCTGGAATGAGGTGTCCCTGGAGCTAAGGGCTGACAGCCTCTGAGAGGCACTGAGCCAACTAGAGGAGGCTCCATGCATCAGGACATAAATTTAGGCAACGACCGCAGGACCTGTGAACAGTGCAGTCTCTAGATGTTTGAATTGGGGCAAGTGTAGAAGTTCTAGATGCTCCAGGATGTGACAGGTGAGCTTCTGGTCTAGAACCAGGGCATTCCTCTTACCCTCCCTGCCCAGCTCCCATCCCTGCACAGATTTAAAGTGTGATGTCCCTTTCTGTTGCTTCATTGTTGGTGTATAAAAATGCAACCAATTTCTAAAAACTAACAATAGAACTCCCCTATGACCCAGCAATAGCACTGCTAGGAATTTACCCAAGGGATACAGAAATGCTGAGGCATAGGAGCACATGTACCCCAATGTACATAGCAGCACTCTCCACAATAGCTAAAACATGGAAAGAGCCTAAGTGTCCATCAACAGATGAATGGATCAAGAAGATGTGGTTTATCTATACCATGGAATACTACATGGCAATGAGAAACAATGAAATCTGGCCATGTGTAGCAACATGGATGGATGGACCCTGAGGGTGTTATGCTGAGCGAAATAAGTCAGGCAGAGAAGGACAAATATCATATGTTTGCACGTATAGGAGGATTAGGAGGAACTTGACGGAGGCACAAGGGGGAGAAGAAGGGCGGAAATGGTGGGGGAAAGGGGGAGAGGCAAACCATGAGAGACTCTTGAATGCTGAAAATAAACTGAAGACTGATGGGTGTGGGAGGGAGGGGGGAGATGGGGATGGAGGAGGGCACTTGTGGGGATGAGCACTGGGTGTTATGTGGAAACCAACTTGACAATAAACTATTTGTAAAAATAAATAAATAAATAAATCCACTTTTTGGCTGATGAGAAAAAAAAAAAAGTGTGATGTCCTGAAACTGGCAGGACAGGACAGAAGGAGAATCTGTGTCCACGATGGGGCTGGCACGGCCTGGGGATTATAATGGCGTGGCCAGGTGTCCTCTGGGGAGCTTTGCCTGTGACTCAGAGCTGAGGCTTGAGGTGCGCTGGACCGAAACGGATTGGTAGGTGGTGGGTGGAAGTGGTCGCCGTGGTCACCCCCTAGAGCTGGAAGACCTGCCCCTGGTCTCCTGAGTGGTCCTGGGAAGACTATTTCACTCCTCATGCTCTTGGTTTCTTCACTGATCACATAGGAATGCTCACCAGTCTGCCGGGCCCCTTCCTAGGTCTGTGAGTCTGGGTTTTGGGGCAGCTTTCTCCTCTTGCACTCCCACTTGAGGTTATATTCCTGGAAGACGAGCTCTTGGCACAAGAGGACATGACAGAGACACTACCTTGGGGTAGAGGGCGTGGGAGGGGAGATTTGAAGGACCCAGGGGCAGGCCTGGAAGGGGAGGAGCTGTTCTCTTCCCATGTTCTTGCAAGCCTGACTTACTGACCCATGGACCCTTTCCCCATGGAGGAGCCCAGGAGGTGACAGGTGGCTGGAGGGGGCCATGCAGAGAAGAGGCAGCCCAGGCTTTATTCTCCATATGCCCAGGAAGGAGTACCCTCCCTTCCCTGCCTGGCATTGATCTTTCCATGTTTCTGCCCTCCAAGATAGGCACCACAGGTGGAAATCTTTACTGTGAAATGGGTGAGCTCAGTGCCGTGACATTTGGATCAGGAAATGGAGACCCCAAGCCTTCCTTTCCTGGACACTTTAATGGACAAAACTGGCTTTGATGGGGGTCATGGGAAAGCTTCTTTAGGCTGACTCTTGGAAAATGAGGCCCTTGCCTGCAGGCATCTCTCGGGACATGCCAGGTGCTCCAGTGCTATAGC